AACGCCCAAATCCATACTTATACAAAAAGCAGTCCTACTCAACACCAGTTTATTACACGTAAATTTCTCAACTCATCATCATCATCATTGAACGTCATTTCTTCTTTCTGCAGGCACACTTGGTCAGGGACAGTGTGTTCATTTTTTTCTACCCCTTTACCCCTGTCGCTGCTCTACCTCACCGTGTCCGACATCTACGCACTCATTAACTACGTTGGCTTCGCCAACTGGGTCAGTACTAACGGTACTCTCTCTACTCGCTCGCGGTCGCGCTGCAGTTGCTGCTCTACCTCACCGTGTCCGACATCTACGCACTCATTACCTACGTTGGCTTCGCCAACTGGGTCAGTACTAACGGTACTCTCTCTACTCGCTCGCGGTCGCGCTGCTGTCGCTGCTCTACCTCACCGTGTCCGACATCTACGCACTCATTAACTACGTTGGCTTCGCCAACTGGGTCAGTACTAACGGTACTCTCTCTACTCGCTCGCGGTCGCGCTGCAGTTGCTGCTCTACCTCACCGTGTCCGACATCTACGCACTCATTACCTACGTTGGCTTCGCCAACTGGGTCAGTACTAACGGTACTCTCTCTACTCGCTCGCGGTCGCGCTGCTGTCGCTGCTCTACCTCACCGTGTCCGACATCTACGCACTCATTAACTACGTTGGCTTCGCCAACTGGGTCAGTACTAACGGTACTCTCTCTACTCGCTCGCGGTCGCGCTGCAGTTGCTGCTCTACCTCACCGTGTCCGACATCTACGCACTCATTACCTACGTTGGCTTCGCCAACTGGGTCAGTACTAACGGTACTCTCTCTACTCGCTCGCGATCGCGCTGCTGTCGCTGCTCTACCTCACCGTGTCCGACATCTACGCACTCATTAACTACGTTGGCTTCGCCAACTGGGTCAGTACTAACGGTACTCTCTCTACTCGCTCGCGGTCGCGCTGCAGTTGCTGCTCTACCTCACCGTGTCCGACATCTACGCACTCATTACCTACGTGGGCTTCGCCAACTGGGTCAGTACCAACGGTACTCTCTCTACTCGCTCGCGGTCGCCCTGCTGTCGCTGCTCTACCCCACCGTGTCCGACATCTACGCACTCACTAACTACGTTGGCTTCGCCAACTGGGTCAGTACTAACGGTACTCTCTCTACTCGCTCGCGGTCGCGCTGCTGTCGCTGCTCTACATCACCGTGTCCGACATCTACGCACTCATTAACTACGTTGGCTTCGCCAACTGGGTCAGTACTAACGGTACTCTCTCTACTCGCTCGCAATCGCGCTGCTGTCGCTGCTCTACCTCACCGTGTCCGACATCTACGCACTCATTAACTACGTTGGTTTCGCCAACTGGGTCAGTACTAACGGTACTCTCTCTACTCGCTCGCGGTCGCGCTGCAGTTGCTGCTCTACCTTACCGTGTCCGACATCTACGCACTCATTACCTACGTGGGCTTCGCCAACTGGGTCAGTACTAACGGTACTCTCTCTACTCGCTCGCGGTCGCGCTGCAGTTGCTGCTCTACCTCACCGTGTCCGACATCTACGCACTCATTACCTACGTGGGCTTCGCCAACTGGGTCAGTACTAACGGTACTCTCTCTACTCGCTCGCGGTCGCGCTGCAGTTGCTGCTCTACCTCACCGTGTCCGACATCTACGCACTCATTAACTACGTTGGCTTCGCCAACTGGGTCAGTACTAACGGTACTCTCTCTACTCGCTCGCGGTCGCGCTGCAGTTGCTGCTCTACCTCACCGTGTCCGACATCTACGCACTCATTACCTACGTGGGCTTCGCCAACTGGGTCAGTACCAACGGTACTCTCTCTACTCGCTCGCTGTCGCGCTGCTGTCGCTGCTCTACCTCACCGTGTCCGACATCTACGCACTCATTAACTACGTGGGCTTCACCACCTGGGTCAGTACTAACGGCACTCTATCTACTCACTCACGGTGAGAGTGACAAAATGACTATCATATGTATAATAATAATAACTTTTATGAATGAATTGTAATAAAATTTTGATTAATAGTATTAAAATACTTGGAGTTCCTTGAGGAATTATATGAAATATGTGTAGTTAATTATTAGTTCATCCATATATTATAAATCATCAATAAACCATATATAACGCACTTTTTCCTATCTTTTTATGAAATTTCAACCAAACAATAGCGATTTTTTTAAACTAGCTTCACATACTAAACCTAGACAATTTTAAAAAAACGCTATCGTAGAAGAACTCTTCAAATGTTTCATATTTGTTGTCCACTGAGTGACGGAGGTATCGAAGGTAAGTTGCAAGTTTTAACCCATGTTATAAGTTTTGATAATTTGGTAGAAATATTTATTATAAGCTTTGATGAAACTTCTTCTTTTTCATCATCTGGTGATGATAGTGACTAAATAATATTGTAAAGATGAAGAAGTTATGTTATAAGTTGTTATAAATATAATACTGATTAGAATATACTTTTATTTACATTTATCGTTGAATTAACAATTTTTTTTTGAAGTGAAAACGGATGGGAAAAAGCACCGAACTCGCGTGACCTCTGATACATATATACAGATATATATATATATATATATATAGTGTGTGTGTGTGTGTGTTTGTGTGTGTGTGTGTGTGTATGTGTGTGTGTGTGTGTGTATTTGTAAAGAAATTGAAATTATTTACTTTTAAAGATTCCTATATTCATCGTTTTGAAACAAACAGTAAATTCGTTGTAAACATGTATTGCCATATAATACTATACATTTTTTGAGTATAGTTGTATTCTTTGCTTTGGTACACACAATTTATGTATGTTTCTACTAGTCCTAATTATAACATCGTGCTGGTTTTTTTTTAAAATAAATTACTAATTATTGAACAAAGACATAGATTTCCTAAATGTATAATGGTGGAAGCGGCAATATTTTATGTTTGCGAAAAAGGTGAATACAACTATCTAATTGGTGTGCTCCACATAAAGACCTTACACATTTTTTTATGCCCGCGAAAAGCTCTAATGAAATCGACAGAATTACCCCATATTCTTAAGCCGTAACGTAGGATCGAAGAAACATATCGACGATAGGCAGAAAATGCGGCCTCTACGTTGGCCACTCGGCTTAAACGATATGGTAATTAAAAAGGTGAAAATCACTCGGAGCTAGATCTGGAGAATATGGTGCGTTCTGCATCAACTGAAACCCAGCAGTTCGGATGGCAACGCCTGTGATCGATGAGGGGGGCATTATCATGATGAAAAAGCACTCCGGCACGCAATTACGCAACCTAGTATTGTGTAGTGTCGTTGTGTGACGTGCCTGCGACATTAAAAGGTGATTACGTTGAAAAATTCATACAATTTACATATACTTATACTAGAGTTTCATTGCGTTTCCAAAAACTTATTGATCAACCTACTACATTCAATGTACAACAAACACCAATAGGACAACGGATGGGCCGCGCACACCGCATACCTGGACGGTTCTCACCGCCCTGAACATAGATCGACACAAGCTAAGCAGTCAGAGACGGGGGTCCGCACTCCCCTACCCGGACAGCGGTTAAATAGCTCAAAAACCCCGCAGAGGGGTTCTGATGATTGGTAACAAACCAAATCGTAAACCATCTTCATTATCATCGTCATCATCATCACCTTTCCTTTTTTATATAGCTCGCGGCCTTACAGACCGAGAGGCCTGAATCAGCAGCCAGTAAAAATTGGTGTAAAAGCCAAAAAGGCTAACAGCACTAACATCACAGAGTACAGACATAGATAGCACACGGAGCGTTGGCCGCTCTCAGGGCTGAACACCTTGCCTAGCGGGAATTTCTCCCTTTTCCTTCAAGGCCAAAATTATAATATAGTTTAATTTGCAAAGTAGTTATAATTTATAAATTTATAAACATATGGCCGCCAGAGGGGTGCTGATGATGTACAAGCCTAGGGCGTTATTCACATATAATCCGGCTCTATCTGCAGCGGAGCTCTACCACGTAAGAATGATGTGATGATTTATTGTTAATTGGTTTCGTTCATTAATGTGTATTGATAAAAAAACATGTAACATGTAAAAAGATGTTGTTATTGTAATTATTTACTTATCGTCATCTCATCGTCATTGTGCTTGTAATTAATAACTTGACAACAGCGCCACCTATCGGATCAGATAACAGATCGGATAACAGAGCTTTAAACTCATCGTCTCGATAAAAAAAATACATTATGTAAATATAAAATCAATCGGTCGTTTAGAACTTACAAGACCACATAACAGACGCAGCAACGATTATATAAACAAAGATAGTGAAAACATTTTAAAAGGCTTAAAAATAGAAATTTAAACGCCATCTTACATTTCTGCCCTAATATATTATGAGGTTCTTCGATCAGAACAAGGAGTAAAAGTACTATGTGTACTGGCAGATGGCGTTACTCAGTGGTTCAATCGATCCACTGCAAGGGGGCGTGAGTTATCACAAACATCACAAAGCGCATGCTGGTCGTACCTACGTCAATACAAACAAGACAGAAATCGACAATCGAGACCGTTACGTATACCATGTATGTAATAAAATGACAGTGCCAGCCAGTAGTGCTCGCTGACTCGCTGTTTAGTTTGCGCTGGTTGAAATATTTGAGAAACAGCTCAGCTTGAATTATATTTAATGTAAGAATTTATATGTACTGTTCTGTGGGTATGGAAAAATAATCGATTTGTGAATATTGTATCCGTGAAACTATAAAGTTATTTCAGTGAACTAATGTTGTGCTCTGCTTTTAATAGTGTTATCAATATTACCGAACACATACCTAATTTAATTTGCATTTCGGGATAGAGAAATCCCATAAATATTGATAGTGTAGACTAAAAGAGTTCTGATAAAATGTGAAATTGTTACAAATTTTGGTTTATCGTATTTTTAAATAAAATAAAATATGGACATATTTAGTGTAAAACTATAAAGAATCACCACTGCAAATACGGAACTAATGAATTATTGCCAACGGTTTTTCTTCACAATGCCTTCTTATAGCCAGGAAATAAATGTTGACCTAAATTCAAATGAAAAGAATGGCTACAAAGATAAAAATGAAAGCAGAAGTGAAGAAGTCAAATACGTTACCCCCGATGTTGAGAAAAGTGTTCCAGATGGATTGAATGCTGACCAAAAACTCGCATTTGCGTTAAGAGACTTTCTGAAACCATCAAACCCAGTATTAGAAGATAACGATAACGATAACGATAAAGACAATCCATCACCGTTCGCTCTTGACCAAAATTTACCATATATAGATGAGCATGTGGATACAGAAAACGCCCCCCAGTCTGACGAGGAACTACACCAATGTCCAGAAACAGACGAAGTGCTTAATAACGCTGCTTGTCGTTTAAGGCGATGGCGAGCAGCCTCGCGAAAGCTTAGGCGACCCCGAATCATAAATAACTTAAGTACTAAGGATGAAGGAAGCAACGCAAATAAGAACTTTCATGGTGGTCATACTGATCTGGCTGACCGTCTGCGTAGCCTGGCCGCCGCCAGCAGCATGTCTGCCTCGGCAGGTGAACTGCTATCACTGGCTCCACCACCATCCGCGGCTACTGCGCCGCCCTCACCTGGCTGCTTACTCTCACCTACACTATCCGATCAAAGTGCTGCGGAATATTTTGTAAGTTTTTGATTACCGTAAATATATGTAATATACATTTTAGTAGATTTATTATCCAGACATGTACCGTTACCCCTATTACAAAATGTCACTATTCTTATGAACTATGGCCTCCCTCTGACTACATCAAATCATGGTTCTGACTATCGACTTCCTGTAAGCCTCATCTAATCGCCACTTCATCTAGAGGAAAATCGCCGCCTAACTTATTTTTCTTTGAAAGACTGACATAAATCCTTTCTTCACTTACAGTTATCGGTTCTAAAACTTTATGGCCGGCCTTTTGTCAGTTTACCCACCTGATGTCACACAGAGTATTGATTAAATAAAATAATATATTTTAATTCATTATTACTCGAAGAAATATTAAAAGCGATTCAGGTAATTTGCAACGTCAATTAAAACGAATAACAACAATTAGTTAATTAATTAATTGTACGCTTTCACATTAATATTTACGATGAATTTTATGTGTTATCCGCTCTACGTATAAACATTGTTTTTTAAACAATATTTCAGATATTGATGCCGATATATGGTTTGATAAGATACTATAGTGGACACACCCACCTAATACAGTCCAAATCTAGGTATAGATATAATCTGGAACTACATTTAGGATTTTATCATCGTTATTCAAAAAAGTATTAACTAACCAAATACCATGTACCTTTATACGACTTTTGTGCATTTGTATTATAACAAAATTTCCCATATATATCATACATTCTCGTTTTCCCAGCGTCACTAAAAGGTTAACAAGAGCGCTACGAAATATTACTTGCATATTAATTTTCATGCCATAAATGCGAACTGATTTGAGTTTAAATTTCGTAAAATAAACGCGTTTCAATAAAAAATAAAACTTCATTATGACGACCAGACGGCAACTGAACAGTGATGTCTCAGTAATCACAAGGGTGAAAACAGCCAGCGATCACCGAATAGTGAGATGCACACTGAACTGAAACGTTAAGTTGGAGAGGTTACGTCTAATGAAGTCAAAGCTCCGTGCAATCTTCAGTAGATTTGACAGCTTACAGGCAACTGAACAGACAAATCTTCAAATGCATGCGGCGGGACTTACGCAACTTCAATACAGCTCGTATTGAAGAAGCGATCGAGCGGAAAGAGGGAACCAAAGTCTCTGCCAGAAAAAGCCAACTGTCGAATCTGAAGACTGAATGTGGCAGCATCGTTTCCGGGACACCTGTAATTATGAATAAGATTGAAGGTTATATGGGCAGCTGTACACGTCATGGTTGGAACCACACGCAAATATAAGTAACGATTCAAGAGCAAGTCTTATCCAACACTATTTCTATGGGGATATCATCGTCGGTCTAAGCGAGATTAGAATGACTCTCCAGCGCCTTAAAAACGGCAAAAGAATTACAGCAGAACTTCTAAAAGCGGGTGGAAAACGAGTACCTACTTAAAGTCCTTCAGAAGCTCCTTAATTTCGTCCTCCATGGTGGCAATACTCCGGAGGCGTGGAGCAGAAGTCCGGTGGCCTTTTTCTCCACGAAAGGTGACAAGGCTCCCTTGAAGAACTACAGACTGATTTCCACAGTGAGCCGCATCTATTTGCTGTTTTCAAGAGTCATTACGAATCGTCTCGCACGCAGACTCGGCGACCTCCAGCCTCCCGAATAAGCCGGTTTCCGAAAAGCCTTTAGCACCATAGACCACATACATACCCATCAGCAAATTCTACAGAAGGCCGAGGAGTATAATTTTCTGCTATGTCTGGCGTATGTATACTATGAGAAAGCCGCCCAAATTTTGATTCCGTCGAAATTTGGGCGGCTTGACTTTCGGTATATCGAAGTGCTGAAGTGTTTGTACAGTAGGACTACCATGGCTAGCCGAGTATAGAACCAGAGTACGAAACCTATCCAATTGCACAGAGGTGGAAGACAGGGTGACGTTATATCTCCGAAACTCTTCACCGCCGCATTGGAAGACGTTTTCAAGCTACTGGACATGAAAGGACAATTAACATCAATGGCGAGTACATCATTCACCTTCGATTTGCCGACGATATAGTCCTTTTAGCAGGATCTAAGCACTGTGCTCAATGACCTTAATAGTGCCTCCCAACGGATAAGTCTTAAGATGAACATGGACAAAATCAAAAGTCGTGTGTAACGTCCATATCACACCTATGCAGGTAATTGTTGAAAACACTAAGCTCGAAGTTGTTGACGAGTATGTGTACCTGTACATAAATGTGGCTAACTTTTAAAATGTGTATTGACTTCAGTTATTACCATAGACTTAGGATATACTGGCGTATCTAAGTCTATGGTCATTACTTTTAAAACAAAAATTTTGCAAAACAAAAAAATCTGCCACAAGAAAGCCAATCTTAAAATTCATATGATTTCAATGGCGCAGTTCCTTTTTAATTTTTTCAATAACCAATGACAGGAGAAGAGGGATGATAGCTCCAAATACCTTTTTTTCCGTCGCAATAAAACTAATGGGTTATGCAGAACCATGCACGGGTGTTAGATCAATAAAATTCATGAATGCTTTTAGTATTCTGTACTTTAAATTTTAGTTTTCCCTCAGACTGGACTGTACCAAATAATATATTTTGTGTTTTCATTCATAACAGAAATATTTTCATTAATATATCGCATAATTATTAGAGCATTATATTATATTACAAAGGAGGAATTAAATAATTATAACTTTAAAAAAAATTAAAAAAAAAAGAAGTCTACCTGACCCATAGACATAGCGAAGAGCGAAGGCATTTGATGAGGTTTGGCACAAAGCGCTTCTTTCTAAGTTCCTTCCTATGGGCTTCCCGAGAAATTGTGCAATTCGATCAACAGTTTCCTTGCTGATCAGATCATCAAGGTCGTAGTAGACGGTGTATGCTCCGATTACAAGCCTATCAGTGCTGGTGTTCCACAAGGCTGAGTGCTATCACTTACGCTGTTCCTTCTGCATATCTATGATATGTTGCATTCATTGCTATGCGGACTACAGCACAGGTGATGCTTTTTACACCGGCCGTGCCAATATTTCTCGGTATCACATCACCCCCTTGTCGTATCCAGGCGCGTTCGCAGCCTGAAATTTTTGGAGGGGGTCACTAACAATAAAATATGTTGAGTAAATTAGATTTTATTGCACAATACACAATTTTATTGTACACATTATTATAAAAGAAACGGAAGTCTTCTATTTTTATTGGCAAATCGGGTGATAATATTTGAGACGTCTGGTGCTATCTCTGGATGAATATTTAGAAGTGCTAAACCTGTCAGCCTCTCTTCTAACATGTTTGCTCTCAACCGTTTTTACACGCCTTAGCGTAGAAAATGATCTCTGTGATGTTGCACAGCTTATATGAAGATTTTCCATAATTTTCAGCAAAGTCTTTTTATTTTGGCTAGAGATCGTCGTCGCAAACTTCGATTGTAGAAACCACACACTTAGGAAATTTTGTATCAGTATTTTCTTTGAGTTTCCGTTTTCAATTTGAAATCCATAGCTGATACTCTGTAACGAGAGTGGCAGCAGGAACACTCAAGAATTGTGAATAACATTCTGTATATTCAGATTTTGGCATAAACAGTTTTATCGTATCCGCAGAAAGTCGGTCCTGTAGGTCAGTCATTATTCTATCTATCCACTGATAGATAACGTGGAATATAAACAGTACTCCGAAAATGACATCGTAATCCATAAAAGCACCGTCAGGAAAACTTAAAATGCATCGCGGCTAGGGGCAAAAAATAGCTTTTTGTATTTTCTGCCGACTTCCAAAAAGGAGCCGGTACTCAATTCGACTGTATGTTTTTTTTTTGTTTTTTTTTTTATGTGTCTTACCTCAGAACTTTTTTCTGGGTGAACCGATTTTGATGTTTCTTTTTTTATTTGAAAGCTGGTACTTCTCGTGTGGTCCACTATGAATTTGATCAAGGTCAGACCAATAGTTTTTAAGTTATTCTTAAATAACTTATATTGAAGTCGGCTGTACAAAATTTTTAATTTTAAATTATGTTAGAACATTTTTCAATTTGACGTGTAAGATTTGGGGGGTGGTCGTGTCCCCTGTGACCCTCCCCTTCGGACACGCCTGGTCGTATCTTCTCAATTTCAGGGTACTCCTATACTACATATCACATATTCGACATATCTAGCACATCCCACATATCCAGTGCAGAGCGACTCGTATCGTCGACGACCAAGTTCTTTCTGATCGGCTCGATTCACTGGGGCTGCGAAGGGATGTTGCAACACTTTGCTTTTTCTATCGCATCTATAACAACCACGTGGAGTGCTCTGAAGAGTTTTTCGGATTATACCATCCGCCAAAATTCACGAAAGCACATCGACACAAAACTCACGATGGATGCTTGGACTTTTTACCAGGAGTATTCTTCCTTGCACAAACTCTTTGTGAAATCGTTTTTTGGACCTATACAACTTAGGGACCTTCAAGAAAAGAGCTTACACCTTTCTAAAAGGACGGCAACGCACCTGAAATTCCTCTGGTGTTGCAGTTGGTCATGGGTGGCGGTAGTTACTTACTATCAGGAGAGCCGCATGCTCCTTTGCCCCTTCTTCTATAAAAAAATACCTCGACAAGAAGCATTTAAGCATATAGTAAAATATGACCCTCCTCTGCTATCTGGACTATCTGCTGCATTGTGTAATTTTTTTATTATTATGTGTATCAATGATATAAGTTTAAGCAACAGTAGCCTCATGGTAGTATGTAGGCCACAAACTTTAAAGACGTGAGTTCGAATCCGCCATTCGACTACTGTCGTAACCCGCTTTTAGCATAAGCATTTCATGGTTACCTCATTAGTAATGATAATAGCGTTACTAGTACCTTTTTAAGTGTGTGTGAGTGTTAGTAATATATATATATATATATATATAATAGTATTTGTTCGTAAGTTTACACCTTACGTTTTTTAAGAGTTACAATAATGTTGTATATTTTTTTTGTTTATACGTGGTAGAGCCAT